TCAATTCCCGAAAGCTTACAGTTCCACGTGAAATACAGGGGCTATATTGACACAAGAAAGTTAAACTTCATGTTGGTTGATCAGGGCAGATGGAAAACAATATTTAGTTGTTTTTTTTTTAAAAAAGACAATGTGAGCTGGACAGAATATGTTAAAAATATTTCACTGTTTTCCTAACTGTAGAAGCTTTCAGTAACATCAAACCTGTTTTCAATTTGTGAGTTTCTCATTTGAAATAGAACATTCTCTTACTTGACAAACGGGTTAATCCATTCGTTCAATATCTACAGAATTTCAGAAAATACAATGCATTTTTTTAAGTTTTACATTATAAAGGGGGATCGTAAAGCCAATCCAACTCTTAACCACTTTGGCAAATCAAGCTAAATATCTGATCACAAAGATTTGTCTTAAAGGACCACTATGGAATTCACATAGTTTTACTCTACCTATGGAGGTGCCCACCACCCCCTTGTGATGGTATCTGCATGTGTGTCAGTGGAGGAGGAGCGAGGGCAAGTAATTAAAGAAATATTGGAGGGGATAGGGAGGAGGGAGAGCCTCAGTGAGTGAGGGAGGAAGACTCTGCCTGCAAGGTAGAAGCAGTTACCTCCATTGCAAGCCTGCAGTGCATGCTGACAACAGGCGTAACGTATGCACATAATTGACATTAGGCAGCCTGGAACAGTGTCCTGCAAGGTGCAACTTGCAACTTGCCTCCAGCGCACAATTAAAAATATCTCTAAATGCACAGTGTTTTCAGTTTCATGCTTATTCATACTTGTCAGTATGTGGTTGTTATCATCCTCATATATTTTATTACGTGGTAGTGGCTTAGTGTCAACTAAGGTTTATGACAGTGGGTTTGTCTTGAGTGTTTTCCCATGTTGCTGTAAATGGAGTTTTTTTTTTTTTATATATATACGTTTGTGAATGAGTCATTATATTTGGCTCAGTGTCTGAGCGTAACAGTGTTTTTGTGGTCCTTTACATCTGTGAGTGTGATACTTCATATCCATGGATATATAATCTGTGAGTGAGTAATTTCCTGGATGGCAGTGAGTACATCTATATTTGACTATGTTACTGAAAGTGGATCTGTTTATTTAATTGTTTGTGCGTGGGTCTGTGGGATTCTGGATCTGCCTATGTGTTAGTGGTACATAAAATCATATGCAAGAAAAATGCAAGCATAACAAAAACACTTCTTAAAACACGCAAAAGGAAGTAAAACCAAGCATGCACGAGACTGTGGTTTCGCAAACACAGACACAGCCTATGGTAACCCCTACGTACTGTTTTATCACTCTCTTTATATTTTCATCTACTCAGGTGTTGATTACAAACACAGATTGAATAAACAAACACGAAAGGTAGTAAAAGCAGAGTACGTATTGTATTGTAGAAGGATAACAGAGTAATACAATGTAAACTATGCTGTGTTACAGTCATCTTACTTCTGATCGACAGAACATTGACCTCTGAATCTCAATTCTATAGCAATATTTAGAAATATTTATTCTTTTTCTTGGAGACAGGAAAGGACAGCAATGAGCACCCTTGGAGTCAGCCTCAGCAACGCAGACGGAGAGATACAAGCAGGCATACATTATTGTCATTAAGACAATACAACAGCAAATGAATATCTAATACATTTTGATCAATATAGCTAAACATACAGAGCCAATCCTGGGTGGGTGCAAAGAAGTGCAAAGCTCCGCCCTTTCTCATTAGACCCGCCCCTTGTGACAAGCTGTTCGAGGACAACATGGCATTTCAAACAGCTTGTCAACTTTTCATCCCAGCATTGCGCTAACACCGATTGCGAGGGGGTGAAGCCTAATGAGGCGATGGAACCTAGTGTGAGGGGCCTTGTGCTGCACACCTTGCCGATCAGCCTCGTAATATAATATGATCATATGTAAATTGTAAGACTCACAGTGTGCTCTGATAGAATATATTAAATGTTTACTTACAGATAACAGAGCAGTACTTTGCTCTTGTGTGGCAATATGTTTGTAATATAGGGGAAGGGATCTCCTGACAAGTCACGTGCGTGTGTTACTTGAATGAACACGCCTTACATTGAATCTGAACATAATTAAGATAAGAATACACAGATTGGCAATAGTGACTGTTCCCCGTTTGGTAGATATGACCTTACCCGCAAAAAATGAGAATTCAAAGGTAATTTCAAATTTAAGACCAGGGTAACCAAACTGAGTTTTTCCAATTACGCTTTTTTTCCCTTAAATTTCACATTTTGAATTTTCACTTGAGTGCATAAGCCTGGCAATGCATCCCGCTGGATCTTGCAGGTTTGGTTTAACAATCGGAATAGAAACCACAAAACATGGGCAATGGCTGTATAATCTAAAAAAGAACACAAAAACAAAACATAGTGCATTACTGTTATAAATTATATATGTGTTTGGTTTAACAATTGACTTTCAGTGGGAGTTGGTTCTAGTAAATATGAGCATTTTCAATCACGGCAAATATCAAGTAGCTTTCACCAAATTTTGTCCATCCAGACAAAACTCTGCGTTTAGTGCATAAACTCAAGTTGCTTTGAAAAGTGCCAAAATTCCGTGCATTTGAAAACTGCAGGGGTAGGCAACCTTTGGCACTCCAGATAGTTTGGACTACATCGCCTATGAAGCTTTGTCAGTATTTTGGCTGTAAGTGCATTATGGGAGATGTAATTCATAACACCTACTCCTGATTATAGAACAACACTCTCCCGTTGCTACCAGCATACTGATCAAGCCGTGCTTCTTATTTGGGATTTCTAATCTCACAATGTTTTGTATTTTTATTTCCTGACATAGCAAAACACCGGCCCCAGAAAAAGAATATTTAGAGCTCAAACCCAAACAAATTAAACATTCTTTAGCTGGGTATATTATGTGTATATTATGGTTTTATTATTACAAAAAGATAAGTCCTGCGCTCACTCCCATCACTCCTGAGCGGCAGCAATGACCACATTATTATGGTTTTATTGAAATGATCTGCATATAGGATTTTATGTTGAGTGGTTTGTAACTTTTTGAGACTTTAAAGTGGTTTGTAGAATATATATTTTTTTAAATAAAATTGATATTAGTTTTGTTTAATATTTTAATTTTCTATCTAACTCTTGGGGTTATTTAATAGACTGAGCATTATAGAGAATTGTCAAGAGATTGCCCACATTAGGTAAACTCTGCCAATTTGAAAAAAAACAAAAACAACAACAACTAAGGCCTGCTTAAAATGATTTAATATTTTTTGGTCAAACTTTTAAAATGGTTTAATATTTTGAAAAATATTGTAATATTTTAGGATTTTTTAATATATATATATAATTTTTTATACATTTTTGATAATTTAATAAAATAATTTTAAAAGTGTATCCAGTGTGTTTACTTTAGAAATTTATTTATTTATTAATCTCATTCTTTGTTAATTCAACTTTAATCACACACTACGGCTCTAGTAGATTATTAACAGAGCAGGCGATACACAATTCTAAATTAAACAGAATTTGCAATAAAGTAAGTGTAAACATTAGATGACTCTTTTAGGAAGTGTTTAGGAAGGCTGTGTAAGTCACATGCAGGGATGTGTGACTAGGGCTGCATAAACAAAGTGATTTAAGCAGATTATATAGGAGAGAATTGAGTAGTGAGACTGCAGGAGCGTGATCTATGCACCAAAACTGCTCCATTAAGCTAAAGTTGTTTTAGTGTTTATACTGTCTCTTTTAGCATAAATTGCTATGAATTTTCAAATTTCAAATTAAAAAAAAAATTTTGAATTCCATGCAACTCCCATTTTAGTACCTAACCCAGTCTGTGTGTCTCTATGGGTAAATAGGTGCAAGTTAGTGGCAGAACAAGATGGTGAACGGCCAGATCAGGGGGTAGAAAAATATTTGCCCCATGGCAGTTTCCAATGCCACTTTTTCCATTTCTCCCCAAATTTGAAACATAGAAAACTTTATTTCTGTGTTTTCCATCCTCTGTTTTCTCTCCTCCCCATCACATTCTCAGTCTTCAGGTGACATGCTATATATCTTAATAAACAAATGCAGAGATTGTTTATAATTCCTGCACTCATATTAACATTGTTTTATAATGTTTGGATGTGTTGACTATAAAAGGAAAACTATAATGCCAGGGAAAAAAATTGTTTTCTTGGCTCTATAGCTCCCCATAGTGCCCCTGTGGTGCAGAAGGGGTTAAAATGGCCACTCACATTAATGCTTTCCTATAGGGTTTTACATGACACTGGATGTCCTCATGCATAGCATGAAGACGTCGAGCGTCAGTTAGGTGACCAACAGTCGAGGTGAACTTAACCCTCAAAGACAATTATTGCAGTTTATTAAAAGACTGAAACATAGAAACATAGAATGTGACGGCAGATAAGAACCATTTGGCCCATCTAGTCTGCCCAATATTTCAAAATACTTTTAATTAGCCTTATCCTATAGTTAGGATGGCCTTCTGCCTATCCCACGCATGGCTTACAAACTTGTTTATTGTTAAACGTACAACCCTCAGGCTAATCTCCTCAATTTAAAATAGCAAAAAAAGGTGGAAAACACCCAGAATACGTATGAGTTAATATATGGATTTTAAAACACCCTGATATAGGATGTGGTCCATTTATGAATTCTGTGTAAGAATCAAAATGATGACATAGCGTGATACAGTAAAAAAGGAATAAATGTATAAATATAAGTGATTGTAAATACACTCACAAACGCACGTGAAATAAGGCTTTTCACCCTCTCAGGGGTAATATGTAGTACGATGAATGGACTGGAAAATCACCTCATAGGATATATGCAAATAAAGGAAATCTAAGATAGTGAAGTTTGTTATAAAAATACAAAATTTTGTATTTTTATAACAAACTTCACTATCTTCGTTTACAATCCATATATTAACTCATACGTATTCTGGGTGTTTTCCACCTTTTTTTGCTATTTTATATTGTCTCTTGGGTGTCTGTGAGGTACACCTGGGAATTCTTCCAGTTATACGTCTCTATTTCACATTTGTAGTGTATATACTGTTTTTTGCTCATAGTCTCCTCAATTTGTCTGGATTCCTAAAGCTACTTATCAGAACATTAGCAACTATCAGACCCCGCTCTAACTTCCTTCCTTCAAAATACTGTAACATTGTGGCCTAACTCCTCTCTAAAGTTTAATTTGTTTGCTGAAGCTTCTTCTGTGCTTTGTTTGCATATCTAAACTGTATATAAGGAAATAATGGAGGAACTGTTTCTCCCGAATTGTCTACAATTTTAAACAAACAAGTACTTTACAGTTACAATGCTGGTGTGTGTGGCAAACCTAGCCATCTATTTATATGCAAGACTGAGTTGGTTTGACAATTTGGGGTTCCCGAACAGACTAAAGACATATTGTTCATCAGTCAAACCAACTACTGAACAGTGAGACCACCACTTAGAAACTGCAAGATACTAAATGGTCGGATGGGTGACCGTTGTTCGTATGGTCGAACACATGGCCATCTTTGCTCATGAACAGACAGCGGTGTTTGGTCGTCGAGCACATGGAACTATAATCAGACAAATGACGGCGCGAACCATCCTTTCATATGTTCGTTCCCCTTCACATATACAGAGCAGCATTCGAATTAATGAAACTAACGAACACCAGGTAATGGTGAAAACTCCAGAAAGAAGACCGGTCAAAGGATACAACCATCTGGAACTATTTTGGGGCTTCACCTCGTGGTTGACCGGTCTAAACTTCACTCAAATGGTGTTCCTATTCTACCGAACGGATCTGAGCAATATTTTGACAGAGTGGGCGCTCAGATCCCTGCTATTCGGTGAAGTATCTTTCGTGGAGTTATGTTATGATGATTTGAAATATTGTTTATATTCTACACTTGGGAGATTGTGTAATTAAAGAATTGTCCTTACTCAATTATCTCCCAAGTACAGAGGAGGAGTCTGGGAAATGTGACTTTGTTCCCTGTCCCCAACAAGGTCCACCAGGGGAAAACCCCTGGGATGTAATTAAAGAAACCCCTTGCATGGGGAATTGTATAAAAGCCAGCTGTGGTTCAATAAAAACCAGTTGACTCCCAAAACTGTGTATCATCTGGTTATTGGGGAATTGGGATAATATTGCCGAACTACGCTACTCCTGGATATCTTACAAGTCTGCCAGCGGAGATATTGATGTGAATATTGTAACTCCGCTACAGTGTGATAATCCTTAATTAGGATAAACCAATAAACCAATCTCAAGTGAAACTTGTAATATTGTCTGTATTTAAGCTGATTATATATCATTCTCACATCAAAGTTGATTCCGTTCATGGGGCTCCTATATTTCCATTTATACAAGTTGTACTAAAGTCAAAAGCCTTAATTTATTCCTACAGATAGTGTGTCCATCCATTATTACAATGCAAAAAATGACCAATTATTATGGAATCCCTGCTACCCTCCATACCTAAATACCAAACAAGATTGGTACGTGTCAGCAACACTTACATACATATCTGAATGAATGGTGGCCAGAGTTCATGTTTCTGGTAATAAGTACATGCTATGATCTTATTAGTCATTGACAAGCTCTGCCTTCATGCCAAAACCATTACTTCGTCTTCATCACACTTGTCAGTCTCTTAATATATGAATTTCCTCACAATTCACATAATTATTGCTGCAATATCTTTAATACCTAGTCATTGGAAAAGCTCTCCTCCTCCTACAGTTGATTCGATGAAACAATTTAATTTCTTTGTCTCAAAGAAGAAATTCTGAAAAAGTTTTGGTCCTCCTCAGAGCATGCCAGCCATGCACCCACTTTCCTTTTTGTATTAACTCATACCTAAAATAACACCTTGATTACTTTTTACCATGTTGAGTAAGCACCAGGGAAGGTGCGAAACGCTTCCAGGGCTTGATCACTTTTTTCGGGGTAGTCTTCTGGGTGTTCTCTCCCCTCTCTGGCAGTTGCAGGTAGTGTGGCAATTTGATATTTTTTTGAACATTTTCCCTATTTTTTGCCTTGTTTTCCTTTCTTGCTGGGAATTTCATGATAGTCCAGTGTATAACATCATTTTTGTGTGATTTATTATGCCTGCACTAAGAGGGCTGCTGTGACATAGATTTATGATACGTATACTTTATTACTAACTAATTTGCACTTTTTTATATTCATATCTTCTCTGTGGATGACTTGGGATTACCCATGTATGCGGACCAACGTGCATATATTGTGAAACATTATCTATAATTGGGAAAAATCCAGCACCGTAACAAGAATCCTGTTAACGAATGAACAATTTTCAAGTACACTTAAGTATTTTTGGTATTTTTGAGATGATACGGTTTCGTGTTGCGGCAACATTTGCGAATGGAATTTTATATCTCGTTCACACTTCTTTTACCCTCTTCCTCTCAGGATGGAGACTTGTGCTAATCCCTTTCCTTTCCTTCCCCTTTTTATGTTTTTACTATTTTGTGTGTGCACTACATTTAGTGCTCGCCTTGCAATGTCGTTGTTCTAGTATCTATTTCGTACACGACCCATATTTTATTTGTGATGAATTCTTTAAAAGCTTCCCTTTTCGCCTTTCCTATTACCTCCCTTCCTGACCTTATTAACCCCCAAACACACCCTAAGTTATGACAAATTTTGGAGATGTGTAACTCTTTCTGTGGTTGTATGATTACTGTTGCCTACTAACGTATATATTTAGTGCTAAATATGCATTACTTTGTATGATTCATGAGACCAAATAAAAAACTGTAAATATCTAAAAGAAAAACAAACTGTTAAAAGAGTAGTTATGATCTGATCTCTTTAAACAATCTGTTGTGTTTAACACATACAAATATGTAAATATTTCTTTACATACACTACATGATCCTCCTATTATTTAAGCGCATGCGTCTTATTTTCTATTACCTTACTGCCTGGTGGATTAAGGGTTAATCTCCCCCACCCCCTCAGCCTCTTGGGCAACCATCTATAAAACCTTTTAACGTTCCCCGAAAATAATTCAGGGGGACACAATGTTTGGAATGATAAATTATATTCCCCCCACTTGTTGACTTCACAAGAGGGGCGGGGAGGGTTACTTTATTTACAAGATTAAACAACAGCAACTATTATGGTCGGCAAGAATCCAGATTCCCAAAACTCCCCAAAAGGGGGAAGTGGAAATGGCCTGGCAGCTTACTCCTTTTCCTTTGAGGCGGGGGCCATCCCCTGCCGTACATGATCCTCCTATTATTTCAGCGCATGCGTCGTATTTTCTATTACCTTACTACCTGGTGGATCATGCTACCTATACCGTATTCTCTCTACTGCACAAATTCTTTCTGCTGTTTTCAAACAGCCAGCAGTAGCTCAATGCTACAGTCACGGCATAGATAAGACATTGTCTGCCCCTGCAGGACTATAACTTTTATAATACTTAGTGAGATTATGTCTGAGGCTTTATAGGAGTTAAACTATGTATCTCATACAATGTCATGATGAGACAATTTGCTAAAAAGCTTATGTGGTTGCATGAGGCTGGAAAGACCTGCATAGCAACTCACCATTTTTAATGATGTCGACTAGAAGCACAAATAATTACATATCACCCAAGTGAGAATTCAAAGTGAACTTTAAATTTAAGGCCAGAGTAGCCGAACTGAATGCACCACTGACTTAGATAATTTTTCAAGATCGGCTATTTTAACCTTAAATTTGGAATTCATGTTTAACTCACTTTGGATTCTCATTATATGAAATGGCCCTGTTTAAAATCGATCTTCAACTAATACTGCCATAAAGTAGGATTTTAATTTATGTATTATTTCTTATTAAGGAATCACTGAATCAGAACTCCAATGAGAGCTTTTGGAATACAGATTTGAAATCATTGTGTCTCTCATTTGATGAGACAGTGCCCAGTACTAACAAATAGTAAGTGCTGGGCAAAAGGGTGCAGGTCTCCGGTAGCCGCACAGGTTAGTTCTGCAGATAATGAAAGATACATGAGAAAAATGTGTGCAAATTTGAGCAAAAACATATTTTTATTTTTTGCAATTTTTCGCAAATGCATAAAAATATATGCATTTTTGGATTTAGAGTTTCCATTTAAGTTTTTTAACCAATAGTGGCTCCTGAGCCTTGTTTAACCCCTTAAGGACCAAACTTCTGGAATAAAAGGGAATCATGACATGTCACACATGTCATGTGTCCTTAAGGGGTTAAAGGGATACTATAGGGACCAAAACATCTTTAGTTTAATGAAGTAGTTTTGGTGTATAGATCACGCCCCTGCAGTCTCACTGCAGTCTCAATTCTGTGCCATTTGGGAGTTAATTCACTGTGTTTGTAGAGCCCTAGCCACATCTCAACTGGCTGTGATTCACACAACCTTCCTAAAAACTTAATAAAAATGAAACCTAGATACTATAGGTTTAATCTTGAATGTTTGATCTCCTCCTTTGTCAATAGCCTTCCAGGGCCTGCAGGAGCCTCCTTGGTGTGATTAAGGTTCAATTAACAGAGCAGGAGATACAAACTTCTAAAGCAAGTTAATATCTGATTGAAAATTATTTTTCATGCAGGCTCTGTGAGTCACAGCCAGAGGAGGTGTGGCTAGGGCTACATTAACAGAAACCAAATCAATTTAACTCCTTAATGGCTACGAGACTGCAGGGGCTTGAGCTATACACCAAAACTGCTTTGTGTACACTTTACAATTTGTGGTATTGTTTTCTGGAGTACCACGTAATCTCCCTTTTCTCTTTTATCTCCAAGTCTCTTTGTATAATTTACATCCTCTTGACTGGGATATAAATTTTTCCACCATCTTTCTTAAAAATCTCAGTGCTCCTCTAGCTCATGGATCAGCAACCTACGGCACATGTGCCATGCATCGCACTCGAGGTGCCTTTGCAAATGTTACCTTTTGTGTACAGGAGGAGTCCAGGTAGCAGATATAAACCAAAGCGATGTATCAAAAAAAAAGAATTAAGCAAAACAGTAGTCAGGGAAAGCCAAAGTTCAGAACAGACAGCCTAGGTTCACAAACAAGCAGAGAGTCAGATACCAGGTATGCACAGTATAGCTGAGCACAGGGGGTAGGGTTAGAGGTGGTTATATTTGGGAGAGGACTTACAGCATCAGATTTTCCCCCATAGGAAAGCATTGCTTCAATGCACAACCAATTGAGGTGTGGCTACGCATTAGGGGCCTCTCGTCGCCGGGCTTCGGATAAGGCTGAGCCACTACTCAGTGCTGAGGGACATCGGCACTGCGGTAAGGTAAGTAAATAAAGGGTTTTTAATCCTTTAGTCACGTTGGTGAAGGGCGTGAGGGAGGGGAGAGGCAGCGGGCGCTATAGTGCCAGGAATACAGCTTTGTATTCCTGTCCCTTATAATATAGCTTTAAAACTCCTTCCTTTTTCCTCTGATCCCATGAACGTGCTGTCATAGAATCTCTTCTGATGTCTTCTAATGCCATGTGCAGTACGTCTCAGAGCTCTCACTGTCAGGAGATTTTCATTTTCAGTGAGCTCAACCTACATCATATCAGCTGCACTGGAAGCTGGCCATGCATGTGTACTTACATCTTTTGGTGCAGCTAGATTGACGAGGAATTCCTGCCAAATGTATCTCTCTATAAATCTAGAATTACTAAAAACTCAAAAGCCCCTGTGTGGTTTTGTGATCTGTATGCTGTCACGATTCCAATGTTCTTTTTTTATTTAAACTTGGCTTGCTTTCACTTTTCTGATCTCTGCTTCCCCAACGTGGCTTAGTATTATAATTTTGGAATTTTATAATATCCCTACAAAGCCCTGTAATCAGGTTACATTACTGCCTATTGTTCTATATTTCTATAGCTAATTGAAGGTATTATACTGTAAGCTGCTGAAAAAGTCTCCCTTTCAATTTCTTTTTGTAACTTTCTATTTTTAGGTTTGAGCAACATGGCCTTGTTGCATCTTACGAAATCCAACATATAGTCTTTGAGCACAAAGGTTCTTATATGAAAAATCAGGGCTCCCAATTTCCGCTTGCCCACTAGCCATTGACAAAACAAAACCCAGCCCTGGGGATTAGAAATTCACCCTTGGTGATGGCATCATGGACCCTCCAGGCTTTCAGTAATAGCCACTAGGTTGACCAGGTTAGTAGCAAAGGACGTGAAATGTGAGCCCTATAAAACAATATTGTACACTGGTTTATTGGAACTCTTTTCTTCTTGTTTGTATTCACAGTTAGTGATGTCGCGAACCCGAAATTTTCGGTTCGCGAACGGCGAACGCGAACTTCCGCAAATGTTCGCGAACCGGCGAACCGCCCGAAACGCCATTGACTTCAATGGGGAGGCGAATTTTAAAACACACAGGGACTCTTTCTGGCCACAATAGGGATGGAAAAGTTGTTTCAAGGGGACTAACACCTGGACTGTGGCATGCCGGAGGGGGATCCATGGCAAAACTCCCATGGAAAATTACACAGTTGATACAGAGTCTGGTTTTAATCCATAAAGGGCAGAAATCACCTAACATTCCTAAATCACAATCAATATGGATTGACACCTGACATATGACATGTTGACACCTTGACATATGGATTGACACCTGTCCTCAGAGCCCCTGATGCACACGGACAAAGAGCAGAATAGAGACTGGTCCCCCTACATAGGGTCACTTGGCAGATATGGATTGACACCTGTCCTAAGGATCCCTGATACACACTGACACAGAGCAGAATAGGGACTGTTCCCCCTACATCGGGTCACTTGGCAGATATGGATCGACACCTTGTTACAAACTGCTATTTGTAACGGGCCCTTTAAATGGCAAATTGCCCTGTTTCCCTGGGTTGTGGAGAAACCTCTTTGCCAGCCTCCTCCCGCATGACTATGGCCCCTGGGAGATTGTGAAAATGTATGCACTTTTATTTGGTGTGTATGGCCCTTTAAGACTGTCGGTGGGCATATTGGGGCTTATGGACTCTTTATGTGACTGGTGCTGGCCCTTTAAACACCTTTTTTGGGACATCAGGAAGATTGGGACACTGCCCCTTTAAGGCCGTGTCCCAGACTTGTTGGGGACACGGCCCCTTTAAGACGGTGTCCCCTGTGTCCCCAGACCTGGTGCAAACCCTTTGTGCCTGCCTTGCTATTTCCCACTTGGTTCAGTAAATGGGAAATTATTTCAGCTGCAGAGACTAAGTCCCATTCGGCGATGGGACTTAGTCTTTTTTTCAGCCGTTTTTTTCGGCCTTATTTCAGCTGCAGAGACTAAGTCCCATTCGGCGATGGGACTTAGTCTTTTTTTCAGCCGTTTTTTTCAGCCTTATTTCAGCTGCAGAGACTAAGTCCCATTCGGCGATGGGACTTAGTCTTTCAACGGACCAGCCTTGCTGGGGAGACTGGTCCATTGATGGGACTTAGCAGTCTTTCTTCAGCTGCGGGGAACTAAGTCCCGACCGATGGGACTTGAGTCTTTCAACCACCAGCCTTATTTTAAGCTTCTGCAGAGACTAGGGTCGGCGATGGGACTTGATCTTTTCAACATTTCGGCTGCGGAGACTGGTCCCATTGGCGATGGGACTTGATGCGCCGTTTTCAACCTGATAGACCGACCTCGTCTATGGAACTGTTTTGGGCAGGAAAATGTGCTTGCGGTCGGTCATAAAAGGGACCTCCAGCTAACTTTTTAACCCCTGGATGGATTTGGCTGATTTTTGGTTATGTTTATGTTTTAAGTGTGCTGATTCCAAATATGTAATTATGAAGATGGGATGTGTAGTTTTAAAGTTACAGTGTATGGCTAAAAACTGTATTTTTACTACCTGTGTTTAATTATGTTAATCTCTTCCCAAACGTCATTTCGTTCAAAGTGGAGTGAATGTTAAAAAAATATATTTTTGTT